CCCTGTCTCAGGACAGAGCTTGATCTCGCATCTTTTTGTGACGCCATTTGTAAGCAAAATTTTGCGCTCCAAAATGTCTTAACGTGGTTCCTTGCCCCGAGGTGTTTGTACCGCAAAACGTTGCATTCTTAAAGCTTTGTATTATTTCTGCGAAGACTGCGAATGGATTCGCTTTTGTACCGTGATTTTTCCAACATGCAACAGAAACAAAACCAAACATGTTTATGTAGCCAAAAGACGTGTCGATTCGCACAATCATGGTGTCATGCGGAGCACAAGATACGCATGCACTAATGCACGCGTTCTGTCGCGCAGGACGCCATCCGCGAGACTTGTCCAGCGGTTCCGACAGAAGCAGTAGTTGGCGGCGACTCCACTGGAGTTGAAGCAGAGTCATCGTTTTTCGTGGACACGGGCACCGCGCTAGATTCATGCCATGGACTGCAAACCTAACCACGGTTCAGTCGTACCGCATGCACGCGTCTGCCGTGGACGTGGCCACGCATACGGTGAACGCTTGTATTTCACCGACGTCTGATATTCGTGGCTAACTAACTTGAACTAAGTCTCACCCTAGAGCACAAGCAACACCGTGGTGTTTCCCGCCGGCAGGCTTACATGCTGTTTTGCAATTTATGGCGAGTTCGAAAGTTGCATTCGTTAAGAAGGCTACGCCACGGTTTGCCTATGCATTTGCAGCAGTTTGTTGAGCCAGTGGGCATTGGCGCTTATCGGGGATTTGTAACTCATTGGCAAAAAGTCGTTGTGCTGTTCCATTCCTTTCAGCTCGGCATGAAGCGGTTCTGGTCATGACCTTCCGCACATTTTTGCTTTTATAAAAATATAATATGCAACGAGAAGCCAGTTGTCCCATCGAGTTTGCCTGTCATTGGCATCTGGTCATTACGGGTGTGAACTGAGCAGCATGCCTGTTTTATTATTTATTGTTGTTATTTTGTTTTTCGGCCGTATTATTTTCTTTTAATTATCCCACGACAACGTCGTAGTTGCAACACGTTTGCTAGCCCAGCACAGGATCCATACAAGAAAGTATTGAGATAGATGTGCAGACAATGCAATGCAAGTTGGCCAAGTCCAGGTATATTAGAAGCATGCCTTGTGGTTCACGTATTAATTATTTATTTCGGGAACAAAGCATGCAGAGTCTAACAGACATTGCAATTGCATATTATACCCGACTGAAAATACGCACCTTGGCACCTTTGTAATATTTTCTTCCTGAAGCTCTATCCATGCCGTTGATTGGCCCAGTTTTATAACGATTAAACATCTTGTTAGCTTTCGGTTGGCCAATGCCCGTCTAAACTGTACGACCTCTGTCATGTCTCCATATAGCGCCATCAAATGATCGATTCTTTAACCAACCATTGTATACATGCAAGTTCCCTTTTTTATATGGCCAGCTGCACCTTTTCCAAAATTCGTTATCTGACATGTAGCGTGATATTGTTTATTTGGGCCTTCGGGCGCCACAGTTGCTCAAATAACGTGATGCCCATGCCGTTGCGCAGTATTCCAAGTGGGACCTAACTTATTCATTTTCGCTACATATTGCTGCATCCCTCCTTCCCTGTACAGGAGGTGCACTCTTGATTGCATCTAACGTTCAAGATCCATGATCCTCAGTTTCTGTTTGTTGCATATCTTTCAAGCATTTGAAAACCTTTGAAACCGAAAACTAGCTGGACTTTAACAGCCTCCGTGGATTTTCCGCATGTTTACTTGCCACATCCTTTCCTCCGGGAAGACAGGTTTGACGCTCGTCTGTAGCACTCTGGCATCTCCGAAAGATAAAAAAAAATCAGGTGAGATTCAGGCTACCACTTACAAAGTTGCAAAATCATTTCCGTTCTATACGAAAGCACTGCAAGGCACGATCAGCTTCCGAAACAGCTTTGCTGTCCTCTTCTCATTTAATGACAGGTTTCGCTCCACTTTTCACGCTTTCCAGATGCACTGGACAGCACATTTTGTTTGTTCGGGAGGCTCGGGGACGTTACAAACTGAAATTAATGTAACGAAAACTGAACCGCGCTGTAGTGAGTTACTTCCAAGTGCTCCAGAGAAATTGCTTTGCGGATTTTTGGGGGACTGGTGCGCTGGTAGTTTCAGGTTTTGGCATTAGGGCCGTGCTGATGAATGAAAACAGCCTCCAATGCTGTCCCAGCTTATCGTTAGAGCCTCCCAAAAAATTTTGAAAGTGTCGTTTCCGGCACTTTCCTAAGCTAACTATAAACTGTGCCTGTGTATTCAACAGCGAACGCAACGAAGCGAAGATCATCGTCGGGCAAACACACAAGTGTCGTCCCGACAACAGAGCGACACTTGTCCGCACCTGTCCGTTTTCCACGCCATTTGCTCGCTTCCAGCCGACCTTCGTGCTTTTTCTCATACTAGCACCGGTCAGGTACACGGTAACCAAATAGGCCGCCTGATACATATTACATATATATTATATATATATATATATATATATATATATATATATATATGTAATATGTATCAGGTTTGTTATATATATATATATATATATATATATAATTGATTTAGAATAGTGTGAAATGCATTTGTGTCCGTATTTGTTTACGTCGTGTCAATCCTCGCCAGCAGTTCTCCAACGACATCACTTTATAAAATACGCTATGCGAATATGTGCAGTATACCTTCTTTTACAATATTAATTTAGAGTGCATTATGTAACGTATTCTCAGCCTTTTAGGCTAATAACCACTGGAATGTTAGAACGCGTCGGCGCTACAAATGACAGACAAGACATACGGCTCTCTCGACATACAATTCGACCACGGTCTTAATGTGAGCCAGCAGATTAGGCGTCTGCCACGGCCTCATTGTGTCTTGCCGATGACTGCATCCTGTTCGTCTGTTCTCAACTCTCGATCGCGATAGCAATTACAGTGATCTGGTGCACTTAGACGGGAGCCACGAGCGCCTGGTCAGGCTACCAACTCGAGCCTGCTTAGTTGAGCTTAGCAACCACGAGCTGAGTAGTGGACGGGATCCGGCACACCTAGCAATGCTGAATCGGATCGCTGTTATTACGCTATGATGCAAGTGGTTGCTATGTGTCAAACTGGCTGTGAACTTTTTACCCTCGCCCTGATGGGGGGAGGAGGGCGATGCGACCCCCCTAAAGTTTTTTTGAAGATACTTCTCTGGCATGTTGTACAATCGCGCCCATATTTCCAGTAGCCTTTTGGGCATCCATTCCACGCGTCTTGACACCAAAAAATACGCACCTAACCCTTCTGATTTCCGAGTTGCGGCGGTCTTTGAGGAGCACTGCACGACGTTCCACGGCCGGCGCGCGCGGCAACCGACGATGCCGGCGAACGCACGCGGCGGGCCGACGTTGTTGCATTAACGGAGCCACATACCATAAAGATATGCCCCAAGTATAAACAGATGTGCATCACTGTACCCAGAATTGAACACAGAGCACGTCTATCTATGTTTTGTGCTTTGTGCATGACCATGTATGCATGATTATTTGTATGCATGATTGTGATGCTGCAAACAGCGATTTCGGGAAATTAGTATCTTTGACCTGGAATAATGAAATTAATTACTGGCCTACAACAATGAAACTAGCACAAATCACGATATCTCTCTCAGACAAATCAACTGGTGTTTTTCACTTAACTCTATCTTCATTAGTTTGGAAACACTATGGCGTAGTCGCATCGACCCCCATGTCAGTCCGCGTTATTAAAAACGACGAATCTGGGCGAGGGCTGAGTTCTTAACTCCTCTTTTTAGGTCAGCGACAGCATGACATGTAAAGTGTAACTTGACTGTGAATTGTTGATGCCCCTGCATTCTCAACATATTGGCGAGTTAACGTCATTTATTTGCGGTTGCATACGAAGAACAAACACAAGTGACATTTGCACCCCAACATTTCGGGAAAAATTTCGCCTCTGCTTGAATGTAGGAAAACCAACTGATGTACCCAGGCTTCTTTAATATCTCAAGAGCCATGCGCGACATGCCGGCGGGAAAACAGTATTTGCACAGGTCCTGGCTTACTACATCGGTGTCATACCTATAAGTCACTAGCCATCATTCAAAGTCACCTAAAACATGTGTATTGTCCTCTAAGGTCGTGAGTTTGCCACTGCATGCCTGCGTAACACACACGATCTCTTTGAAACTCATCAATCCACTCCCTGTTCGCCACTTTTCTTATGATAATTACCAACCGCTTTATCTTCCACAGTATCGCGACCGAAATCTACCTCATCAGTGCCGATTCCAGATTCGAACCAGATCTGGTTGAAACGTGATCAAGCTAACTGGAAATAAGGTACCCGCCCGGGAACGAAATCAGCCCGTTAAGCCCTGAGTCGTAGCGAAAACTGATTCTAGTGAAACGGCGTGAGCGCGAGCCTTCGCTCTTTGCGACATGCTAGACAGTTGGTAAGGTAATCCCATGCATAAGCGGCGTTTGCATTGCGCTAGGCCCTCGGCCAGCAGGTAAAAGTAGCAAAAAAAAGTTCAAGTCAGCCTAAAAATAACCCCAGTATCTCAGCTTTTAATCTTTGGATCGGAAAAATCCATCGGCAATCGACATCGCTATGCCATCGGAGCCAAAGCCCGTCGGCGTCAGCTGATTTCTGTCACGTGACTGATGGCGTTGCAGATCACGCGAAATCCTTCAAGAAACCTTAGAACCCTGGAATGACTTCAGCATACTCTGGATCTTGTGATAATGGGCGTTCGGTTGAAGCGCCTCTATAACCGATAATGGTCGTAGCGGTTTGGTACTCGCACCAAACCAGTCAGCTTGATTTTGCGCTTCGTGATAAAGTTATCTTAACAAAAATTAAGAGCCAAGTTCGGGTGGCATCAAGAGATGTCAGCTCAATGTCAGATCATGCCATTCGGCTGGATTTCTCACGTCATTCAGCCCACAGGACGTGCATAAGTGACTGGTTGGAAATATGCCAGGTATACAGATTTTTGTGTTATCTCTGAGGGACGTCAGAAGTAAGTTTCGTGTGAAACTTACAAATTGCCCCCGCACATAAATTCTATTAATGGTCCGGTATGACTTCAGTATAAGTTGACTTACCCTGACTGGCACGGTCACCGTAGTGAATACACTACATGAAATCTGTCAGAAATAAGGAAGGAAATTGCAGCTTACTACATGTATGGGCAAAAACCGCCGTGCAAGCCTTACCGATGACTTCCATGATTACTGACCTTTGAAATATCGACAGAATCTGATCACGTCACCTGGTTAACATTTGGTAGACCTGTCGAGCACAGTTCCGGAATTGTCCTCAGAACTCAAAGTGCACAATAAATTAATCCCTAACGCAAAAATTTGGGTGCTATCACACGCAATATGGCGTGCGCAGCCTGCCAAGTAAATTGACACATCTGCTTCAATTGCAGTCCAGAGATACCAAAGAGATATTTACGATATTTACAGTGGAGGCGGATTTCATTCCGGGCGGGTACGAGATCCTGACATTTTAACAAGAGCTGTAGTCCAGACGCGGTCCCGGCTGTCGTTTCTAAGTTGTGATGTTCTGCACCTGTTTGGTACATTACCACTTTCAATATCAGTGGCAATAGGAAGGTGGGCGTTCTTACGGTAGGAAGTCGTTTTTACTACAAATATTCATGTCGACTTCAAAAATCCACACTGCAGTCATCACAGATGGTGATAATCCACCATTTCACTACCTCGTGCATGAAAATTGCGATGCAACTGTGACAGTCTACCTGTATGGGAAAGATAGTGAGAAAGCTGCATACAAGACCAAGGTAAGCAGTCACATTCTTTGCATGGATTATATCTGGTTCAGCATGCAAATTGTGCCCAAAACTTTTTCACTCATTACAGAATTTTGATGACATTTGACTTTGTAAGGGTGTACATATGGACCAGACCTTCCTGTACTAACTGGTCCCAACCCAAGCAGGAAGCCCATCCCCTTGATATAAATGACTTCTCATGTATGGGATGCTAAGTACCTATCATAGGATTTCAAAGTTTCCATCAAAGGTAGTGCTCATCTGAAGCCATTGTGTGGTCATCTGTTTTGGGCAATATAATGTTGGTCAATGTTTTGGGTAATATAAATGCCCTTGAGTTACTTCTTAGAAACACCTGCTACCTGCCATCTAGACTGCCAAAAATATGTGGTGCCAAATCTATCCAGAATAGCAGTGACATCACAGCAAAAATTTAAGTGTATGTATACCACAAATATGAGCATTCAAAGTTTTATATCTAGTCATATTTCAATTTTAAATTTCACCAATTTTGGCATGCAGAGATTAAACACTTCACTGAATTATGATGTTACTAAGGCAATTGCAGGTAGAAATACTCTGAAGACATGTTTCACTTAAGGGTTATTTGGAAGTCTAGCAGAGTATAAGTTTCAGCACATCACTCATATTTGAGCACAGGTGATTTTTGCAGGCTGGCTAAGTGCATGACAAAAGTGACAAAAGTGCTATGATCACTGTATATGCATATTATGTACACATGATTTCTGTTGGCTGCATTTGGGTGTCCTTGCATGCATTTTAAGCTTGTATGCATCTAAGCATGATGATTTTATGAGAAAATCAAAATGAGCTAATTGTTCCATAATCATGTTCTTTGTCAAAGAAGAATGCCATAATAATCAGCATACATTCTGCCAGTTGTGTACTGCTTGTTGATCAGTAGTTTGGTACTCTGTCAGCTTTGTGCTTGGTATATCCATACCAAATTCTGCACATTTTCAGAAAGGATGTCTCCTTTATAAAAAGAAACCTTGAAACCCTTCAAAAGAAAACCCAAGCTTGCATCCAGGCACTAGCCCTTTCAATGATGCTTTTTTGTGCAGATTGATCACAATGCAGCCATGACACAGACTAAAGGAAATGTATGTAGTATACACAAATTGTATCTTCAATGTTCACAATGCGACAGGTTCCAGAGGAATGTCTGCAGTCCATTGCAAAATCATATAAAACCAAGGAAGGGGCTACTGAAGGACATGAACAAGCATCCAAATGGGTGAAAGGAATTCTTTATCAGAAGCAAGCAGATGTAATTTGTAGCATAAGGACAGAAAATGGTACTGCTAAATTGACATGGAAAAAGAGATTGGAAAATGGGATCAAGCTTACTCTGGGAGAGATGGTCTTGGTGAGTGTACTCTCTTGACACATGTCATGTGTCATCACCTTTTTGACTCAACATGTCTTATTGTGACAGTAACTTTTGCATGTTTCTTATACCCAGTACTTATGCTGTGTATTTTGTGGTTCAGTGTTTCTTGCCTTGGTAGACTGAAATTGTGTGATTGGACTTGGTGATGTAGGATGATTTGTAGCTTGTATAATGTATGTGAAACTCATGTCCTATCTCTGCTGTCTGATCAGTGCTGTCACCATCCTCTAGCACCACCTTCATGTCATGTGCATGACCTCCCTTATTTCAGGAGGAGTACTTCCCTGCTCCATCAGACATGCTGTGTTTATGTGGAGATGCTTTGCAAGAATATGAATCAAAGAGCGAGGCATTGAACAGCAGTTGCAAAAAGCTGGAAACAGGTAGATATAAGCATCATACAAAAATATCCCATTTTGTGGTAGGCTGGATTGTTGCCTGGATGGACCAACAGTTATCCACAAGTCTCTTGTCATTCCCCTGCAGCTCTGGTTTTGGGTTGGAAAAGGCATTGTGCTTGTCCTGCTACACAGTATTGCAAGGTGTGATATTCAGCTAGTGTGGGACTAGTGAGGTGGCTGAGCTGAGAGGCGACCGCCCGTGGAGCGGGGACGCAATTTTATTCTCGCGATCATTTCGAGTCGATCATCCGGACCGGCCGGAAGCTGGGTGTCCGGCCCACTGTCTCCGGTGCTACCTGAAGCCGCGCCCGCCGCCATCCGCCAGAGAACGCCCAGCTGAGGGACGTCGCCCGCCAGGCGGTGGAGGCCAGAGAGCAGCTGGAGCGCCACCTCGTCGGCAAGTTCGCCCAGCTACTCAACGAGAAGAAGGCCAAGATCCGCGCCCTGCACGAGCTGCTGGAGGAGCGGCAGGCTGATGACGTGGACCGCGGTGAGTGGCGGCCTCGCTGTTGTGTTCTCGTACCACATCTCAGCGAGCTGGTGGGGGTTTTGCTGAAATGGATCGCTTAAAACGTGTGTTTACATGTGCTGGTCTGAGATATATTCAACATCCGCTTGACACATACTGTGAGCCTAACCACAGCTGGCAATTTGGGTCAGGCCTATTGATAAGGGTGGTGGAGTGATTGGGTTGTTCGGTTGAGCTCGGAAGCTCCCATCATTTGATTTTTTATTTGCTGTATTTTGGCATGGTTCAGCGTTTAAAAGCTGGCCTGTCCTTGAGGTGGATGGCAGTTATGCAAGAAAATCTAGTGCTGACATGTAGTTCAACGGCACAGTATTATGTTTTGTGCTAAAATAACGCCCGACGTTTCAAGTTTAAGGACATCGCTGAATCTTGGTATTCGGTGTTTGTTTCCATTTTAGTTTATTTTGTCTGTTGCACATTCACTATCGTCGCGTGACCGCATTTTAGGTATATTTCTGGCTTGTCATGCTCTTTTTCAATTGTTCATCATGTGTGGTTTATTCGTTACGGTTCATCACTATCACTGTTCGTTACAGATTCGCTGCTATCGCCTACCCCTATTTTGAGCCGGTTTTTTTCGCGCTGTCGCACCACAGCTGTGTTGCTTCGAAATGTCTTCCCTCTACCGAACCGTGGACAGATCTAAGCGGTTATTGATGCTGCAGCTTAAACACAACTCCTGCATTGTCCCCCGCATAGGTACACACGTAATACGCGCCTGCGTTGTCTCCTAGCCTAACTCGCATGCCCTATCGCAACCACGTAGCGGCCTGTGCCGCTGCTCATCTGCAAACCTGCCGGCGCTCGCAGCGCCTGCTGACATGGACGCCAGCCCTGCGCGGCCGGCGCCGTCCGGCACGCGGCGCACGGCGCTGCCCGACGCGGAGATGAGCGCCGACGAGGACGAGCCGGCCAGCGGAACCGATGAGGACGACGCTTACGACCGCGAGACGGATGTGGACGAGGCGGGCGACGGTGGCGCCACCACGCCGCCGCCGGCAGAGGCCGCGGCGGGAGGTGAGCGCTGCCCAGGAGCGAGGCAGGACCCTCGCCGGATATTGTACGGCGCGGCGTTGTGGAGTGCGTGGGGCTTACTTCTTGTGGGCTTTAAATACTAACTGGTTGAACCGGTGCGCCAAGACCATTGGGATACAAATGCTGGCGTGGAAAAGGTGACTACAACTGAAAGTGACATTTTGTCAGTAACAGGCTAGCCAATTTTAACTCAAATCTTAGTTATGATGCTGGAATGCTTGTTTTTGGCCATCTATTTTTGAAATATTTTGTTCTACTTGTATATTAAAGCCAACACAAGTTACAAAAACTGTTCGCTGTCTCATTCTGCTGATGGTCTCAGCTTTCGGTGGCGTACCTACGGCTGACTACGGTCTCCGCAATTTGTCAAGCCGAGAGATTTCCAGCACTCTACAGCCGGTGAACGGAACCGCCGCCTTGCCAGGTTATCCATGTGGCGCTGCCGCTATCTCGCCAAAGAACGTGTCCTGCTACGGCGATGTCTTGTGCTTACCCGGGAGATGTGTTCTGTCGTTGTGTCCGGTCTGACGGGCTCGCTGCCATCGCAGTGGACGTGACGGCCCAGAAACGAGCCATCCCCGAGTCGCCTTCACCGATCCCGGACAAGCGCCGCCCGTGCCCCGGCTCCGACGACCTGCTCGACATGGTGTAGCGGCGCCAGGCAGACGGGTGATGTCAAGCATGGTGAAGTATGACGCCAGTGAGGAGGTCTGTGACGTCACGAGAAAGAGCATGTGACGGCGGTGAAGTTCGGGCTGATGGCGACCCGGATGTGAAGGTGTGACGTCTCTGGAAGTCGGTGACGCACCAATTTGAAAGCCTGTGGCAAGGTTTTGAGTTGGCGCATTTCTTTGACGGCACCGCGTCACTGAGACGTCACAGCGGGCCGCATGGAGCATCACCGCGACTGTCGTGTTACAGAGACTTCAACTTCCCTGACATCGAGGAATTTGAGGTTACCTGAGCGTATTTCTCAGTCTGTTGTCGGCGTGGCCTTAGCTTGCTTGGGCTTGATGGGCTGGTGATAAGGGGACCGCCGCCGGTGAAAGACGGATCTTGGGGCGAGCTGTTGGGCCATGCGCTGTGGTCTCCACTTCCCAAAATTTATCCAGGTGCTGCTTCCACTGTTATGACGAGTGCCTGTATGCGCTGTACATTCATGACCAGCTGTGATCTTTCTGTGTAGTCACGTTATGCTTCTGGTTGTCGTCTCGCGTGGTGTGCATATATGACCGCTATTTATGTTGTGTATAGGTCGATTCCTTCGGAAATTCTGTTTTGCCATTTAGGCATTGTTAGGGCACAATTTGGCCTAATTGACTCTGAATGTGACCGACGTCAGGTCTCGATCATCATGCATAATGTGAATACCATCAGGGTGACGTGGCGTGATTGTGATGTGCATGTAACACCGCGCTTGCTCCAATAATTGTAAGTTCATCTTTGCCTTGTGTTCATTACCATAGCCAGCACTGGACAGGAAGTTGTCTGAACACTTGAGGCCTTTAAGTGAAGTGAAGTGAAGTGAAGGTCAGTGCCGCAGTCCGTGGAATGCAACCAGATGCCACAAGTACCAGTTGGACGTGTCCACCGGTTGATGCCCGGGCCACTTGCGCCTCTGACTGCGGAGACCAGCGTCGGCGCGTCGGCGCTGTGTGGCCTTCAGCCGGCGCTTCGAGCGAATGACGGCTGATAGCGGCACCCCTTACGTCACGGCACTGGGGGGACGAGGTGCCTGTCGACTGCGTGTTGTCTCCGCCTGCCCGCCATCCGCGTGGGTGCGTTTTTTAAGTACTCCGTAACGGTCGGCTCGCGTCGGGACTGACGTGGCCGAGGTGAGCACATAGCCACAGTGCTGCACAGTGCCGCTTGCATAGTGCCGCACAGCTGTGTGTAGTGATACGGTAAATGGACATACAGCCACACGTGTCCGTCTTTGAACGGAGTGTCCCACTTTTTAGTCAAGTTGCCAAAATGTTGACGCCTTGATATTATCTACCGCACGGTCTTTCACGGACATATGTTCTTATAATAAGGAAGGCCAAATTAGCTTGGTTGCTTGTTGTACAAACTTAGGGATTTCTCAGAACTCGAGGTGGCGGCCGCCACCATCCTGAATGCTAACTTTTTGAGCTTGATCTGAATGAGAGGAGGCCGTGTAATATCTCTAAATGGGGGCTATCATAAATTGCGAGTCCATTTCTGGACTTATGTTTGGGCCACAAGGCATAATCCAACGCCAAATCGGAGTTCAAATGCCAAACTCAGTGAAGACCTTTGAGGTCTTCTCTGAATTTGACATTTGAGGTACAGTGTCATATCTAAAGATACCTGGAGCGCAGAACTTCCTGCCAGAATCCGTCACAATCTTCTACTACTTTTCATAGTCATCACTATGTGCACCTGGCTCCCTTTCGTCGTTTTCGATGTCCATCTGCTTGCTGGTGCGGCGGTTGTAGCATGCGATTTCTGCCCAACATTGGCAGTGGTCTGTGCGTGGAAGGCCTGCTTTATCGCTGTTGCATCTGCAGCGTGCAACCTGCATGCCTTGCTTTCAATGATGCTGGTGCAGGTCACATTCCAGAAACGCTTCGGGGGTAACTTCTGCTTTTAATACGGCCGGTACGATGGCAGAGATTTCGACGCTCCAACCAAAGTTGGCAATATCCCTAGTTTTTTCAAGGGAGGGGACAAAGAGGGAAGTTCTGTGGGGGGGGGGGGGGGGGGCAGGAGAGTAGCGGGTTCACCGCAGTCTCGCTGACCGAGTGTCACCAGGCGCGCCCGCCCGCTTGTGGCTTCTCCCCGGCACGCTTGGGATGCTGCCTCATCTGTCTCGCATGTCAGCTCAGTTAGCGAGCACAATTGTGGTGTTCGTCCACGAAGAAATACAGCACCATTTTCTTCACACAGTGCTGCTGAAGAGGGAGTTGTTCCACCCTTCGTGCAGGCGCCAGCAGTGTAGGCTGGAAGAGACATTTCACTCACATGCTTCTTGTCAGGTGTTCTTTGGCTGTCTCCAGGTGGCCCATCAGCTCCTGGTATGTCTTGGCGCCTTTCGGGTGCAACCTCTGCAGCAAAACAGTGACAGTGAGGTGTCCCGTTCCCAACTCGCCCACAAGGCTATGCATCTGCGGCGCTAGAATGGCCCTTCCAGTCTGAAGGCACCTCAGCTCTCAACAGAGGCTCTGTCCGCTGAAGAGACGCGGGTTCTGTCCGCTGCCGTCAGGCTCAGTCAGCGGTGAAACGCGGGATGACTGTCGGAAGTCCCCCAAGAATGGAGAGCCGACCGAGCGGACGGGTTAAATACTCAGCAAGACCGACCGGTGGCGGGCTCTGCCCTGAAGCCTGAGACACGGGTGGCGTTCGGGCCGGTGGTCGATAAGCCGCCTGACAGACACCCATCTGTATACGCTTGCGTGTCTCAGAAGGACTCTCAATGCTCTCGGGATGCAGCACACCCGTCTTACAACCGACCTCCACAGGTATCAGACTGCAAGCCTAGTATAATCCAACGGCCCTCAGCGCCTGAGCCATCTCATACTTCACTCACACCGGCATGATGCACACTCCCAGGAGTGTTCTGGGCTGTGCAGGAGTGTTCTCTCCTGGGAGTGTTCAGGAGTGCACACTCCCAGGAGTGTTCTGGGCTGACACTGATGAGGGATCTGTCGTGAGCGTCACTATGAGCGCAGCGTTTGGTGGCGGTATCACCAGCAGGACAAACGGGAAGGCCTGGAACAACGCCCTCAGGATTTACCCCTCATTTTTGCCGTGCTGCTGCATGCCTTCTTAATGGGAACAAGTCATGCCAGGAGCTGAATGAATGTGGGTAAGCACCTTGGTGGAGGGGCGGTTCACGGGGTCAGCATAGAAACGATTGTAACAAGGGACATGGTATTGGGCGTCAACGGGCGGCAGACCGGTCGCTCCACAGAACATAAGTGGGGATGTTGGTCTAGCTCACTCTTATCCCAGAGGGTCACCGACTGTTATCTGAACGTGATTTTACTCTGCTCATTTACGGTTTTACACTGTTTGACCTGTACCTGCTGATGTACCTGTACCACTGTACCTGACCAGACAGCAGACATTCTCCCTTGAAATCAAATTCGCTGTAATTAAACTATAATAAGTTGTACGTTTTGCAAGGTCTCATAACACTTGTAAACTAGCATGGCATATGACCGAGTTGACATGGCAAAGATAGATAACCTCTTTTCACGCTAGCGTCATTAAACAGGGGTATGATTCGGTACCAAGTCTGAAATGCACGAAAGCCGGGATGCACAGGAGCGAAACCCATCGAGTATGCCTCAAGTTCATAAAAAGTATCTTGTAAATGTTACTCTGAAGGCGATGAAAAAGACGCATTCGATGTTACCAACAGTGAGCTCCTCCGTTGCACCGCTACTTCGCTAAATGTTGTCCATAAACGGTTTGCGGACAAGACCAGGTCATGTGCCGTCCCCCATACGGCCGGGGCTGTCTCTGGGCTGATGTGTTTGGTGAAGAGGCGCCAATCGGGGCTTTGCCGGTCATGTTTTGGCGGTCGGGGACTGTCCCTGTGGTGACGTTAATCCCGGCTGAGCGTCGGTGTTTGCAGCGGCCGCGGAGGTCGTGCGATATGGGCGGTGGTTGTGCGTCTCATGGCGTATTCCACGCGCTTCAGCGTTTTATTTCAATTTTGAAGTGTCCGTTCAGCTCCATCATTCACTTTTGGTGCCCACTTTTTTGCACTTATTTTCCGGTGCGGTGATCGTCAGTTACATATGGCTAACCTGATTCTTAGATATAATTCGTGAGGCATTCCCGACCCCGAAGACGACATCTGCTTCCAGGTATGTAAACGATCTGTGAAAAAGATTTGTTCGGCATTACGGCGAGCAATATCTGTCCCATCTATCGGGGATCGTGAACGGGGATGCCCCCTAAAAGGACAAAGTGATATTGTGTTGTATTCTAGTATACATCATAAAACATTGCTCTTTGTACATAACGCATTGCTAGTTACTTTTTAGCGCCGGCAATTAATTTTGCCAATCTTGTTTTTCTTCGTTCGCTTTCTCGTCTGGCTGCTATCCATTAGGAGCAAATGATTGTACCGTTTCCTTTATTTTGTATATTATATATCAATTTATTCCTCCTGTCGGTTCTTGGAAGAAATCCTGGCGTTTACTTTCTTATCAGGCTAATCAACACTTACCGTTTTTGTTATTATTACGTATGTATGGATTACTTTGATCTCACCAGTTTATTGTGAAGGACAAGGTGAAAGTGAAAACGGATTCTCGGCTAAAAAGTTTAAGTTTAAAACTCTAGTTTCCAGCAAGGCCGTATAATAAGGTATGATCATCCGGGGATTTTTCCCGCACTTTTTCCTCACCATTACAGTGACGTCACGAAGTCACAGTCTAGCATCGCCGCCCCGCCTGCACTACCTTCGCGTCTGTCACGCCGGTATACCTACGACCAAATGCATCTGGCGACCGCAGCAGGGCACTTCAAGAAGTGCGATGAGGAAATATAGAAGAGGAATTTGTTGCCACGCTGGGTTCATAACAGCGAACATAGGCCTAGGAACCGGGAGCCCGTGTGCCATGCCACTCCCACTTGCTGGGGATACCTAACATTGAGTCTATGGCGATGCACTGAAATTGGCCAGCCCACAGCTGCTCAAATCCGGGCTGGCGAACCTGCTCAAGGTCCAGCCACTGCCAAAGGAGGAACTATGCCGCACCAGGATCATCATCCAAACTGTCGCGTTGAACCTCAGCACCATACATAATGACGCGCCGGGCTGCACTGGTGTGCGGTGGATGCAGTTTGGGACGACGGAAGTGGTGTGCTGCCTGGTAGAACATAGGACATTGTGGACATTGCATATTGCGTCAACTGCACTACGAAGCCTCCGAAGGTCGAGGCGCGTAGCGTTTATCAATATCACATCAGTCACACCACCCTGCCAATGCATCGTACACCCGTATGACTTTATACTACGAAGTCTCGGAAGGTCGAGGCGCGTGGCATTTATCAATATCAGATTAGGCACGCAACCCTGCCAATCCATCGTACACACGTATGACTCCTAATTAACCGTCCCTTATTTAAAGCAATTCTTGCGCACAACATGCACTCCATTGTGCACACTTGGCGAATACATAAAGCAAACGGGTGGAGGGCGGAGAACACAACAATAGACTTTCAGCTTAACTCTAGAAATACGCGACAAGTAACCCGTCTAAAACAACCCAAATGGTTCTCTGCGAAAGAGCCGTCTATGTCTCGGACACACATGCATACAAACCAAAAAAGAAGGCACAACGATGCTCATTCAAGCTCATCAACGTATGTTCACGTACGCACAACGACGCTCACATCGTACTGTCCACGTGCTGTCGCACTTGTTTGGCTGCGCGCCTGGCAGCAGCCCGCTCAGCCCTAGCT